GCACCCACAATCACCACATCTGTCTCAGCATAGTCGAGCATCTCTGTCATGTAGCGCTGTGTCATCTCACGGCTGACTGTGCTCTCACGAATGGGAGTGAACTGCATTGCATCAAACTGCGCCAACTTGCTCGCAACATAGGCTGCAGGGTCCGAAGGAACAGCGGACACCAAAGCTGACTTAGCACGACAACCAGCTGCCCGTTGGGCGAAGCGCAACAAGCTGCTGCTAACACGTGGCGCAAACATCTTGTGGCTGAAGCAAGTTGGCCAAATCCCTGCGCAGGCTTTACCCTGATCAGGTTCGAACGGTGTGTTCTCAGCTGAGCTGCTCACAGGAACAGCTAGCACCCGCAAGGCCTATCTTGAGTTTCAAACTGCTATTAGGTCACAACGGAATCAAGAAAACAAATGGAATGGACTTGAATTAGACTCTTCCTGGCTGCTTGCTGCTGGATAGTTGATCGGTTTTGCTAAACTGTTTAACAAACGAACAGAAATGTGTGCTTCTCAATCTTCTCTGAATGTGTAAACATGTTTCTTCATGCTCGACTTTGACACTGCTCCGGAACGAGCGAGCACTCTCACACAAAACTCTATGGCCATACCATGCCCGAAACATTGCTAGGGCAGGATCTTAGGCCTACCTTCAAAGCGCTCTTGGCTTCTAACGGTTCAAAGCTTGGACAGCCAAATTGGCAGCTTTCTGCCCAGAAAGGAGCATTGCACCAAAGGTAGGTCCCATCCTGTTGCAGCCACGGGCTTCTGCTACCTCCATGCCAGCAAAAATGAGACCTGGCACTACCTCACTGGTCATCTGCACAACTGCATCCTCTGCGGTGTTCATGTCCAGCGCTCCCATTCCAGGCAAGCCAGCAGGTAGGGCCCCTAGAGATTCAAGGCGCTTGGCAGAACTGGCGCCCATAGGGCCATCATGGCCAGTGGCTGTGACGACAACTTTTGCCTCCATAACCTGGGGATCCATGCAGGACTGTGTGTCGTGGTTCTGGGTTACCAAGGACCAGTTCGTCACAACACCGCGCACGCCCACTTTGTCACCTTCTTGCCTCACCAGCAGATCCTCCACAGCAACCGCGTTGAAAAGCTTCACATTGGGTGCGATGAGGGCCTTTCGCAAAACGGAGGACATAAAGAGTGCAGCGTGCTTCACCACCACATAGTCACCCTTGTCATCGTAGGGCACTTCCAGCTCATCAAGGAGCTCATTGGCAGGCTTGCGAACAACCATTGAGCTCATCAGCTGGCCACCCAGCCAGCAACCCCCTCCAGGGGCGACATTCTGCTCCAAAATGGCCACCTTGATGTTCGGATGCTTGGTCAGTTCATAGGCACAGGAAAGCCCAGCGGAGCCCGCACCCACAATTACCACATCTGTCTCAGCATAGTCGAGCATCTCTGTCATGTAGCGCTGTGTCATCTCACGGCTGACTGTGCTCTCACGAATGGGAGTGAACTGCATTGCATCAAACTGCGCCAAGTTGCTCGCAACATAGGCTGCAGGGTCCGAAGGAACAGCGGACACCAAAGCTGACTTAGCACGACAACCAGCTGCCCGTTGGGCGAAGCGCAACAAGCTGCTGCTAACACGTGGCGCAAACATCTTGTGGCTGAAGCAAGTGGGCCAAATCCCTGCGCAGGCTTTACCCTGATCAGGTTCGAACGGTGTGTTCTCAGCTAAGCTGCTCACAGGAACAGCTAGCACCCGCAAGGCCTATCTTGAGTTTCAAACTGCAGTCAGGTGACAGGAGCTGCAAGTGCAAAGTGAGCAACAACAGGTAACAACATGTGGATTGCATGTGCTTTGGCCTGCAGTGCTTGCACATCTCCCTATCTTGTCACTGCACCTTGGCACTCTTTGGCTGGTCGAGTTGAAAAGCAAAAATTTGATTGTCTATACGATAGCATTGTCAAACAGGATCAGCAGAACCCACAGGTTCGTGTTACCCAAAAGTCAAAGTATACCAAAATTTATAACAGCAAGAATTATAATGGCACTCTGTCACCACGTGCGCAACGGCTACAATGCGAGTTGATACAGGAGCCGGGCGAAAAGCTGAAACTGGCGCTGGGAGGCTGAGGCTGCTTGAGCCGTCGCATGGTCTGCCAACCGCTGCATGTATACAACCCAAGGAATGATACGACGCCTCAAATCACAGGCCAAGACACGTGAGGCCCCCCACTCCAATAATTGACTATATACATCTATATACTATGTGGGACTTGTGGGGCATTGTTTTCGTCTCTAGTTTCCGATGGGTGCAAGACGGTCAGACTGCAAGACCTCAAGATCACTTCGTGATCGAATTCAAAATCCTCTATACAGGAAGTGTATACTGCAGCCCACAGCTTGAGCTAGGCACATCGTTTCAGCTGTGAGCTCCCGTGTTGAATGAATTATGTATGAGGTATTGTATTGACCACTATATACACACGAGCAATGGCCAACTGGATATCAATTCAAAAGGCTCGCCTCACATCCAATTGCGTACTTTGCTTCGTGTTGCTTAGTGAATTAGTCTCCAAAAACTAGCTGAACTCAAGCAGGCTTACCTGCATGTGCTGTATCTGTGTCTGCACAGAGCTCAGGAAAAAAATGATGAGCTCCAAGGTCGAGAAGGGATCATCGTCCGGCACCGCTCCTCTCCGAGCCGAAGCGAGCTCTCGTAGCTTGTCAAACAGCAGCAAGAGCCGCAGAGCGAAATTGTCAGCAACGCCTTGCTTGGCGCTGCCGGGCTCCAACGCTGTCACGGGTGGCAAAGCCACATGTGGCATCTTGACGGGCATCTCTTCCTCAAGCTTTTCGTTGTAAAGTTGCATCGACAGTTTTTCAATCGCACGCTTTTGCTTCAAAAGCCTGTTGGCAGTGATTTTTGCACCATACTGTCCATACTTGGACGCTGAAACAAGAGCACTCTTCGCCACTTGGGACGAGGTAGCTTTCACCATCGTTTCGCTCTTGGACCGCGTCATTTCCAAAACCGGATTGGAGGAACTTCTGCGTAAGCGCATACCTTCATCAAGTGCTTGCATGTCCAGATTCAAAGGTTCTGCAAGATTCACAAGCTGCTCGGGCCCGGCTTCAAAGCCAGGTGCCAAGGGAGAGATTGATTTCTCTTGCTGACGTCTAGCGCCTTTCCAGGCCATCTTCCAGGGTGAGCGTGCTATGCTGCAAAAGGCGTTGCCTACAGTTTTCGTGTACAGCTTGCTGCGCAGCAGCTCCCTCACCTTCTGAGCCTCCTTGTCATCTTGCATGTCTTTCTTGGAACGCCATGTTGATTGCATACTTGCAGTTGCCAAAACCCGGATGTTTTCCAGCATCCTGCACCACACATGAAACTTGTGGAGGAGACACGCATAGATTTCGATAGAAGGGAAGAAACAACTCAGTGGAAAATAGGGAAAGCACTTGAGGCCTTTGCGCATGCGAAAAGACCTGAAAAACTCTGAACGGGTCTGTCCCAACAAAAATATGTCCTCAACATCTCTTCAGCTAGGGTGGCCAGAATTGGTCGAAAGAGCTCATCACGCAAAAGTGGTGCCACTTTTGATGATGGTGTAATCGCTGCCTTGTAGATCCTCGAACCTGCCTTGAGAATGACCTGCTTTTGGGGCTTCTCCAACAATTGAATCGCCCACGCGATAATCCTGCACACAGAAGTATTAAGCACAAAGATGTCAAAAACCAAGTTTGGCTGGGCGCAGCACATCTTTTCTAGGTGCTTCGGGAGCGGACTTGCCAATATTAAAAGCAGCTCAACAGACTCACAGCAGCTCAAGCCTGTCCTGAAGTGCCGCGTCAGGGTGCGAAGTCCCTTCTCCAAGTCATTGCAAAGGTCCACTGGAAAGGGACGCCCGTCAAGGCCGGTTTCGTCAGCTGCGTAGGGAAGCAAACCGGTCAATTCGTCCAGATCTTCATAAATCTGCCTTTGAAGTTTGGCCAAGATGTCCTCCCGGTCTGACACTCCTTTTTCGACATCTGCTGTGCCTGTGTCTGGATCTTCTTCTGGATCAAGGACTTGAACAGCAAACCTCGAAACACGCTTCAATCCGCGTAGAAGCCGTTGCTTGGCTTGCCTCTTCGCACTGGATGCCAAAATCATATCTACTAGAAGCAGAACGGCAACACCAATGAATGTACCCACCATCGTGACAAACAAAAAGCTGCCATCCGAGGATGTGACTTTGACAGCTTGTTCCCGGAAAATCCCATCACTGGGAAGCAACGCAGACATGGCATAGGCTGCCGTCAGCAATGCCACCCCTCCATGTTTCTTCGAGTGGAAAGCCAGAAACACCAGGACTGTGACAGCAACCAGCTGAAAGAGTGCAAAAAACGTGGCATGAACAACTGTTTGCACAGCAAAAAGCCGCTGAGCAACACTACCAAGGATCTTTCCGAGCAAAACTCCATTGAATCGCCGAAGGGTTAAAGGCAAGCTGGCGGCGGTGAAGGTGTAAATAATCACGGAGACGGTGGAGGCCGGCTGGGATGAATATGGAGCGATGACATTGGACACACCGAGCCAACCAATCAGGAATGTAATTGTTAGGGTCAGTGTGTAGCGCAGTACAAACCTCGGGTGAGTGATGGTTCGCTCGTAGAGCTTAATCTCTGCATGGGTTTGCAGCGACTGGAGATAGCGGCAAAACCTGGCACAAATCGAGGCCTTCTCTTCCACACCATACAGGGCCAAGCTGGAGAGTGCCTGGGACACATCCTGAACCACCCCAGCCACAGCAAGGCAAAACACAAGGGCTGGTGGTAGCAACAAATGGTCAGCCTGTTGACCTTTGGGGAACTCCTGCTCCAGCTGACTCCTGAGAGTTTGCATCTTCTCCAACAAAACGTCCACCACTGGCTTCACTTCATCCGGAGTCTTCACTGCCAAAAGGGCCCTCAAAGTACTGGCCAGGAGGAAACACTCCTGGCGGAGCGACGGCAGCATGGCTGCCACCTGCTCACTGTCCTTCACGGGCAACGCAGCTGCCGCACAGAGAACGGCATCAAAGTTCTGAATGGAAGCCTTCAAAACCTCAAAATATGCCTGCAGCCAACGTCGGTACTTCGCACGTCTGGGCCAGAGTCCGAAATCTTCAAACCACAACACCGAAAGATGCAGGTCGGCCTCTTTCATCAGCACTGCAACCTCGTCCATGGCCGCTTGAGCCTTCAACCTGCACAACTCGGCAGGTGTCAGAGGCAAGGATTCCAACACCATGGCCACTGCAGCGCCTGTGGTGTGTAGTAGCGAGACCGCCTGACCAAACATTGAAAGGGTCGAAAGGTCTCATTACAGGCCAATTGTGTTGGTTTACTGCCAAGGATAGGCACACTTGCCATACATATGTCTTCGTGTACATATACACCTCAAACGAAAGGCGCTCCTAAGCAACTCAAAAAAGCCTTCCGCCATCTTCCGCCTCCAACACTTGCCCGCTGCAATCTCTTCTCTCTCCTGCCCTCAACAGCCCCCCAATCCACGTGAACCCCCACCACATAGGGAGTGCCCTCTTCAGTCCGGCAGCAACGCTAAGCTTAGCCGCAACTACAACCTGTTCTCTTTCCATGGCCTCCTGAGCCCCTCGTGATGCTGATGATGCACTCTTCGCCGTCAGTTACATCACCGGCATCACAACACCCCTCAAACCACTCATTTTTCACTACCAAGTGGCCCACCTCTTTTTTTGCTCTCCCCCACCAGGCTCTGGGTTCACCTCTCCGAAATTGGCCACCTCGCGACCACCCCCTCCCCACACCCCCTTTACTCACTTCGTTCGCTCCAGCAACCTCAAGCCTTGCCTATCGGCTGGCTTTCGTGATATATATACTGTACCCCTTTATTCTCTTCACTCATTCGGAAGTTCACCTTTCTCCAGCCTTAGAGGTGCTGGTGATGGGGCTTGGCAGCAGAAAGCAAAACAAGACACCCACAGAGGCTCCAGAGACAATGAGGAAATAGTTGGTCGCCAGGGAGGGTTGAATATCAAAGGAGCCGGTGGATGGATCCAGAAAGCTCATCACGTAGAACACGTGTGTGGAGATGCTGAAGACCCGCACATTCGTGTTGAAGCCAAAGGTCAACATGGCGAAGACAAAAAGCACAAAGTCCACCAACACTACGATGGCCTTGCTGTAATCTGCCTCTTCTGCGAGGGCGGTGTTCATGTTGAGATAGCAATCGTTGTAACTCAAGTCAACTCCGGTGTTGCACAAGGGCAACCACTTCGAAGTGGCTACAACGGTTCCCGTCGCGTTGTCGAAGAATTCAATGCGATTCTGAAAGGCACCCCCTGATAAGTAGGGTCCAAAGGCGTTGTTCAATACAATCATGTTGATGGTGGCCAGTGCAGTGCCAAGCCACCCCTCGAGCGAATACTTGGCAGACGCGCCGAAAGTTGGGCCAATGCAGAAAATAAACTGCAAAAGCATAGACCCCCAGTACCCCAAATATTCACGTTGGCTAGTGCTGAGCTCTTGAAGGCTTTTGGCCCATGGCCACACAATGATGGGCAAGCTCAAGATCACAGTCCAACAACCAACTCGGAAAGCTGTATGAAGCTGAGCCGCAAACAGAGATCGGGCTTGCTCATCCGAAGTTTGCCCCTTCACGTAGTTGTCCAAAGCCATCATCGCTTCTCCAAAATCAAGAGTTGCCTCTTCAGGCTTTGCAGCTTCCATCAGTTCAAGGGCTGTAGCTGTTGGCACTTCAGGTTCAGCTTCATCAACACCTGTTGATTTGGGGCTCTCTACTGCGTCCACCTCATCATCTCCAAGATCCTCAAGGATTTCGGGTTCAGTGCCATCTTGAAGCGTCGAGAGAGCTGAAAGCAAACACGGAAGGTCGGTATTCGAGCGCACGAGCCTTGGCTCGGACAAGAATGGCAAAGGTGGTAGCTCTGGCAAAGGTCCTTACACGTGACACTCCGCTGAACAAGAACATGTTTTTTCGGACGCTTCCGGTGTCAACTTCCGAAGTTCAACTCAAAATATGGTCCTGAAAAGCTCGGCCCGGTCATGAAATAGAGGCACATCTTCAGATTGAAAGGCTTGCAGAAACTAAAGTTCAAGCAACATCATCACTTGTTTGCATTGCACAATAGCATTGCTCAATAAGGACCACTAGCCAAGGAACGAAAGATAACGAAAGTTTTTGCTAAGTTGCAGCTGCGCCTCTGTGCAATTTCGTCACAAAGGTAGTGTGAAGGGGCGGATGATTGTTGCCCTCACTGGCATCCACAACCGAATCCTCATCCTTCTTTTCGTCGGGAATGTCATCATCATCAACCAAATCAACTGTGCTCATCCTTTTTGGTTGAATTGAAGCGATCAACGTGAAACACTCCTGACAGCCTTTTCAGAGTTGAGCCGAAAATGCGACAACTGCCATCGGTTGGGGGTTGGCTGGAGGCTGGAGCAAATCTTTTGAGTCAAAGCGATTTTCCTAGACACAACCTGGCATAGACATCTATTGTACACAACCATTCATACTCCAAGGACTTGTTGGCAGAGTTCCGTGAGCACAACAGTTGTCTGAACATACAAACGAAGCGTGTCTTTGCTGTGAACTGGAGAGAAGAGAGCTCATATCAAATGACTGCTATGCATCACTGGAGTTGCCTGAAGCCATGCAATGAGTCATGCATCTGGCCCAGAATACTTTATTTGCCTACTTGTTACATGTGTTGCTTGGCGAAAGCAGAAGCAGCTGACAGTCACCAGGAATGCCGGCGCGGCGAGAGACCGCTTTTTGCCGCAAAGCCCTAGCTGCGAGCGATGAGTTTGAAGGCAACATCCTGAGACACGAGCGGAGGGTGATGCCAGGCCGAACCTCGCCACATCAACATCATGATTCTGTCTCTGAGATCTAGATATTGGGCCTGTTTCAATCGGCAGTGAATTGGAACGTAAGGTTGTGGAACCCAGCACCTTTTAATTCAATCCCCCTTGGTCTCAGTGTCCTACCACGCGCTTTTACTAGGTGTCGCCATTTGCGAGACAGCTGTTTTGAGAGACAATGTTTGCCTCACTTTTGCGCCAAGCTGTGCCAATGCCTTTGTGGCAATGGGAAACGAAATCCTAAGCAATCAGCTTCTGCTCTGAGAGCGCAGTATGCAACTCTTTGAGGTGCACAGATTCCAAAGTATAAAAATTAGATGGCTCATGTCGTCATCTCTTGGAGGGTGTAGTCAGCCACACACTAGCCACCGCAAAAAAGCAGCATAGTCCACAGTCCCATCCTGGGGCTCCATGGCTCCAACATGTAACTCTGTGAAGCAACGAAAAACCAAAGGCTATGGACCTCTTTGATTTCAAGGACCAACCTGACCACGAAATATGTGACAGGTTAGAGTCGGCTTAGGTTACCATTTCGGAGTCGGGGCCGATAACCTAACGTCTGTATATAAATTGAGTTGGAAGAAGCGGCTAGCCAGCAGGTCTGCTTTTATGCAGTATAAGAACGGCTAGGAGGGGCTTTGCAAATAACACAGGCGTATGACCGGCAAAAAATTGCCATGAGAGTGGGGGCGAAAGGAGCATTGACGAAACTCCATGGGGGAAATGAGACGAAGATTTGACCTAAGGACGACAAAATGACAACCAAATGCTTTCGCTGAAATGGTCACCTCATGCCAAATCGTCTACATCCAGTGCGGATGAGATGAAATTGCAGAGGGCAACTTGCGTAGGAAAGAAAAACCATTGGTGAGGGGAGAGAGAGAGAGAGAAGGAATCAAACATTAAGTCTGGCGAAGCGTTGAAAGAGCTCAAGCAGGCGGAGAAGAAAAAAAGCTGAGAACTGCGCGATCCCATTTACATTGGGTCACATGCTATGCGCATCTACATTGGGGTCGCCCTAGGCTAATGAACACCACTGCAGTAGAATCTGAGTCGATGATCGTTTTGGTCTGCCAAGGCGTCCGTGGACACCGCAAATGGATCATTGGCACAGGGCTTAAGCTTCGGTCGACTCGAGCCTAGTTTTTGATCACAAAAACTGCACAAGCTGAAGTAGCTTGTACTACCTCTTTACCTCTCCTTTTAAGTATTGAACTTTGTGGTTCCATTTTCTCACTTCAGCTGAAAATCCTCCAAGCCAACTTGTGAGCCACGGTCATGAGCTGCAATAGCCTTGCTCAAATCAGTCACATCAATCCCAAGTAGCTCGAAGAAGATGCACCTCACCAAGTGAAAGACTGCTAGAGCTTCTGCTTCCGCAAGCTTGGTCACTATTGTTTCACACTTGTGATGCAAGAGCTTGGGGTCCAAGCAGTTTGTCCGCGCTGATCCTCCCAGTGTTTTTTGCATCGATCACTTGCAAATGTCTGATAATAAATTCCTTGGCTGCAGGGCAACAGAGTTCTCCGAATGCAAACAACCTCGCTCAATCGAACAGTTGCTGTGCGCAGGGGGAGGTGTTGCATGTCAAGATGCCACGAGGTGATCCTGAAGCCAGAAGCGGTCAACACAAACAAACCACTCAACAAACGAGCAAAAACAGAAACCTCCGATGTTCACTTGACCTTGAGCTCTCTCTCTCTCTCTCTCTCTTGTTTTTCCCTATCATGTTACTTCTGTTACGTCCGAGACCGGTGGGATGTGGAACCTTGGACCGGGTACCGGCTCGGGGGAACCGCGGGGACCAAAGCGGGCCGGGTGCGCCCAGCACCGAACCACGGGAGCGGAGCGGACGGAGCGGGGGTTCGAGTTCTCCGGAAGACCTTGGTTCACTTTGGACACTAAGTCACTAAGAAATCTAGTGTGCAAAGGTGCCAGTGAAGTGCTTCTGTGCCCATTCTGTGCTTCGAGGGACGGCACCACCATGCTTCAGAACATCACTGCAAGAGCACCCCACTCCCACCGCATCTTTTGCGCGGTCCTCCCTGGATTCAATTTTGGATCTTCCCGAAGCTACCTGCAATAATCAACTGGACACGCAACATCGTTCTGCTCGGGCCTCGCCCGTACTGTGAATCATCCCTCTACATCGCCCCTGCAGTAAACGAACTACTTACGCAGCCGCCTCCTCCGTCTGAGCAGTACACTGCTCTTGGCCAGAACTTCCTGCCAGCAAGGTTCATTGTGTAGATGCAATTGACGATGCGCATGTATAGATCAAAAGTGACAAGCACGCGGAGTTCCATCGAATCCAATGGCGTGGCATCTCCCAGTCCTTGGATGGCTCGAGGCGCCACCTTCAAATCACATAGTGACATAGTTGGGCTGCAAGTCGCACCATATGTCTTGGGCAATAAAACACAAGTCCGTTTGAGCACAGCGCCTCTTGCCCATCTCGAGCTGGTTGCCCCACAAGCACTCCTCCAACAGGAACAAAAGACAAGATGTCAAGATCAACAACATCGAACAAGTGGTCGATTGTCTGCTATCACAGGATAAAATCTCATTAGGCCACCTTGAGACCTGCTTCAATAGGGGTATTCTTCAATC